ATTGAGGATAGATGGTAGTGGGGAGAAGTTCACATACATTTATGAAATGTAATAGCTGGGGGAAGGGATAAATTGGGAATTTGGGATTAATAGATACACACTACTATATAAAAAATAGATAAATAACAAGGACCTACTGTATAGCACAAGGAACTATATTCAACATCTCAACTATACTCAATTACATATATAATTGAATCACTTCGCTGTACACCTGAAACATTATAAACCGACTATACTTCAGTAAAAAGTGTAATAACTAACACTTTATTGTGCACATGTCAGGCGCTGTTATAAGTGCATTGCATATGTATCCTCATTAAGTGTGCATGGCAACCCATTTTTACAGATGAATAAGCTGAGACACAGGTGCCCTGCAACCAATGAGCGTCAGATCTGGGAATAAACCAGGCAGTCTGGCTCCAGAGTCCATGATTTTCACTCTACTGCTTCCTGGTGAATGCTTACAATAACAGTGGCCCTTTGATGGGGATACAGTAATGGATAAGAAGCACCTGCCCTCAAGGAGGATACAGGCCACTGGAATGGCAACAGTTGAGGTTAGAGATGAGGAGAGCCTGAACCAAGGCAGATTAAGCGGAGACAGAGAGTATATCTGAGGACTATTTAGGACGTGAGCGGACCAACTGACCATGTGAGGAAAGAGAAGCGATGGACAGCTCAGGTGGCTGGATAGAGATGGCGTTACCTGAGATGGGGCAGAGGAGGGGAGGGAGGAATATACCGAATGAAGTTCGTGTCACTGTTTTTGAGGTGCCTCTGAGATATCCAGGTGGGGATGCCTTAGTAATGTGTTTAAAATATGCTTCTGGAATTTAGGGGAGCAGTCAGGGTTAGATTTATAGATTTGGGAAAGGGTGAGATTATCTAGGCAGAGAATTGGGAGCGTGAGAATAGAAAAGGGCCACGGACATTTAAGAGGCAAACAGAGGGAGAGAGAGAGAGAGAGAGGGAGAGAGAGAGGAAGCAACAGAAATGGTGGAAGAGGCAATAATCAGAGAGGCAGGAGGAACAGCGGGAGAAAATGGTGACTTGGATGCTAGGAACAGAGAGAGTTTTAATAAGCGAGAGGGATCTACAGTAACAAATGCCAAAGCCAGGATCCTTAGCCTCTGAGTGGCAGGGAGTAGAGGTCAAAAGAGCAAAACATTCTTCTGATTTTGGCCCTGGAGATGCCTGGGCAAAAACAGATTATGCCCCAAGGTTGGGAGGAAGGGAAATATCCCATAATCAACTTGTGGTGATCCACATTCATGAAAGAACCTAGGTAATCTGAGATTGCTGGAAATTCACCAATTATTTCTGGTTATCTTCAGGCTTCAGAGACATACCTGCCACCACTTGTTATCTTGGAAGGTTTTGAAGAATTTCTAACTAGTCATTTATACTTTGTGTTAATTATTTTTACTTTTGCACACAGGTTTGATTATCACCAGACGCTCACTTTTCAGTAACAATCACTCCTGACTCAGGTGACCTCAGACATAGAGCTAAGAGATTCTAGGTCATTATAGATTATAAATGAAATTAAATGAACCATATTTTTGCTCACAGAGAACTATCAATCAGAAAAAATTCACAAAATAATAAACACCCAGCATTCAATTTCATCAACTTAACACTATTGTATCAGAGAGAGCTTCTCTGTGTAGTTTTAGATTTTGGCGCTCATGGTGAACTCTGCCGGGCTACCCTTCGGTATTAGCTGTTCCTGCTGATGCCTCTTTTCTTTCAGATTCTGTGAAGTTCATCTCAGACTTGTTCTCATTGGATCTCCCCTGACTTAATCGATTCAGGATCGTTCTCTCCCCAGCTCACCCTTTGGTACTTTCTAAGCATTCTGCCTCATACTCAGAATGCACTCAATAAATATTTGTTGAATAAATGCATAAACTGTCAGTTCTGCTTAGTGTGAGCTGTTCACGCCAGCACCCAATTTTTACTCAGCTTGGCCCCCTGTTAGAAATCAGATCTGAGCAGCTGTGTGGTACACTAGTGTCTCAGTAAGGGGGTGGGGAGAGGGGAGGAATGCTGACCAGAGAGGGGAGCTGTGTGGGTTAGGTTCTCCAGAGAGACAGAGAGAACCAGGAGGGGGTCTGTGTGCGTGCATGTGTGTGTGTGTGTGTGTGTGTGTGTGTGTGTGTGTGTGTAAAGAGAGTTAGTTCAAGGAATTGGCTCATGTGATTGTAGGAGCTGGTAGGTCCCAAATCTGTAGGGCAGGAAACTCAGACAAGATTTCTATGTGATAGTCTTGATACAGAATCCCTTTTGTTTTGGGAAACCCATTTTTGTTCTCAAGGCCTTTTAACTGATTGGATGAGGACCACCCATATTATCAAGGGTCATCTCCTTTCCTTAACATCAGCTGACTGTAGATGCTAATTGCATCTACAAAATACCCTCACAGTATCATCTAGACTAGGGGTTGACCAAACATCTGGGCATTAGAGCCTCGCTGAGCTGGCACATAAAACTTCACATCCCAGAACTAATGCAGGGGAGCTCATACAGTTATAGGTTTGCACGTGGTAGGAAACATCTGGCCAATGATCCAATTAAGATTGTCCAGAGGATCGGAGAATTGGAGTTTGGTTCTGGCCAGAGTTGATATTCAGGACAATCGTGTCCTGGGTGGTGACGGTAGCCTAGCAACAGATGTTCCCAGGCGGTGGAAACACTTGGGGTGACGCGTCTTCACCCATGTGGTTCCTCTTTGCCCATCGGGTCACGAGTGGAGCTCTAGTGCCCTTGGCCTTAATCAAGAAATCAAGGCCAGAGCCTTGTCATGTGGTCTGGCCACAGCAGAAAGGCTGTGTGTCTCCATTTCTTTTGGATCCTCTTCAAGGCTCAGTTGGGTGGGGGGGGGGCACAGTGGGGCAGGCTCAAGAAACAGCACTGGCTGGAAAGCTGCCTCGGGGGTACCAATAGATGTAATGATGACAAGAACGTTGTCCCAAGAGTCAGGAGACCTGGATTCCAGGCCCAGCTCCAGAGGTTGACCTTGGTCTCCTCATGTGTAAGATGGGAAATATAACATTTTCCTTCTTTCCTCAAAGAACAGCCCTGAGGACCAACTGAGAACAGGGGCACAGAGAGCCTCACTTACAAGTTATGCACAGGTCACACAAGGCAGGTGGCAGCCTGGTGTCACAGAGAGAGCACAGGCTCTCACCACACCATCCTGGGTTTGAACTCTGCTCTTACATTAAGTGGTGCATGGGCTTGGCCACATTTTTAGAACTGATGGCCACTGTTTCCTCATTTCTAAAATAAGAACAAGTCGACTGTATTCATTCACTAGGGCTTCCATAATAAGGTAACACCGACTGGGGGGCTTAACACAACGGAAATGTATTGTCTCACAGCTCTGGAGCCTAGAAGTTCCAAATCAAGGTGTCAAGGACCATGCTGTCTCTGAAGGCTTTACAGGAGGGTCTTCTTCGTCTTCTTCGAGCTTCTGGTGGCAGCTGGCAATCCGTGGCGTCTCTTGGCTTGTAGATGCGTCACTCCAGTCTGCCTCCAAATTCACAAGGTCTTCTCCCCTGTAGGCCTATGGCCAAATTTCCCATTTTTTATAACGACATCAGTCATTGGATTAGCCCTGCCCCATTCCAGTATGACCTCATCTTAACTTGATTCTATCTGCAGGGACGCTGTTTCCAAGTAAGGTCACATTCAAAGGGCTGGGGGGGGGTTAACGCTTCAATACAGCTTTGGAGGGGACACAATTCAATCCATAACAACAGCCCACATCACAGGGGCCTGAAGAGTATCTGGCACATAAGAGGCGCTCAGTGAATGGGAGTTATGGAAAGGAGAGGAGGAGGGATCAAAATCCCCCTTCACTCACAAGACAGACACACCCGTCACAGCACTGACTGTGACCAAAACCTCCCATTTCTTTCTGTGTTAGCCTGGAGAGCTTGGGATTTTGAGGCTGTCTCTTCTTCCAGATGATTTGGCCTCTTTTTCCAAGTCGGGCAGGGGTCACGATGGATGCTGAGGTCCAGCCCAGAACCGGGCTCTTCGGAGCTGCCTGAGTGGGCTCTACAAGAAGACCTTCCTCCTGCAGAAACGGGCCACAGCTCCTGATGCCGTGGCAGCTGGCAGGCTGAGGCTGCACATACAGATAATCCCCTTTCTCCAAGGCTGAGATCAGAAGCTGGAGGGTCACTTCCTCAGCAGGCATGTGAGGTGAGCTCTTGGGTCCCTCCCTGTTGGGCAGCCTTGTGGTGCCAGGTGCTGGAATACACCATGTTGGCATGACCTTGGACGCCTAAAGTGACTGGACCATTGGGGAAATCCATGTAGTAGCTGTGCACTTAGAGCCAGTTTGGATGAGGGTATACTCTCCTCCCACCAGCCAGTAACTTTGACATCACGTCCATCCTCTGGTGCCCATGGGGGAGCTTTCTCAAACTCATTTTTATACTGACTTTAGCCACCTAACCAGAGAAGTCTCTTTTTGTAAGGAATGCAGAAGAGGGGACAGGCCAGGTATAAGTGACATTACATTATTCGCTCTTTATTCCCCAGTACAGATAACCAAGAGAGGGAGTCTGCATTGCCTCACCAGATGCAATGCGCAAAGTGAACAGAGGTGGGCCTGAAAGTTGCTGAAGGCCTTGAGAAGTCCGGGGTGACTTATCTGGGCTGGGGACCCACCCCCTAGGAGGAAGCAGAGTGACTCATGGGGCCGATGACCAACACACTATGAACCAAGGGTTGAATGATCATTCTCGGCCTTGCCTATTCAGTGCGGCGGAAGCAGTTTTTACCGGAAAGCCCTCAAGTGTGACTCTTCCATTCCTCCTGTTTGCAAGTCCTTGCAGCTGATGGGGGAAAAAATAGCCCAGCACATTTGCATTTAAGTCTTGAAATCTAAATATTTCTGTGAGTCATTCATTATTATCATATAACTCAGTGTTTGCATGCAAATAACTTTAAGGCCATAAATGCTTATAAAATAAATCTCTTACCATATGAACTCGGTAAAGAATGCTAATTCCCAGAGTCATGAATGGCTTTGAGAAATCAATCACCTTCTCCCGTTCAGCAGTAATGGTGAGGCCCGCCACGGCCAGATCTGCTTTCTGAAAGGAACAGACAGAGATCATCAGAGGGGTGGCCACAGGAGATGGGGGCACAGGGACTTGTGATCAGAGGCCGTCACTAATGGGGAGATGTTTCTCTGGTCTGGCTTCTCTGCTTGGGGACTGACCCTAAGTAGCCAGAGGTCTGAACGATCACTCATGAAAAGACATGGATATTGAAGCTGTAACTCATGTTCATTTGAGGTTAGGCCCCTTTAAATATATAAATTAGTATTAAAAGGGGGGATCACTACTGACTGTTCAGACAGACTCAAAATGCCCTAGGCGAGGGAGAACTGGCAGATACAGCTTCTGGATGCTCAATATTGAGTAGTTTTTTATTCAGCTGATTAACTTGTTGAACAACGAAACTTCACTGAGTCCCTCTGCTGTGTGCACTTTGGTGAGGGAGTTACAATGAAAGATAAAAATGATGGCCCCCTGGAAACTGGAGGCAATCTAATGCAACCCCAGGAAATAAAGGCCAAGAAATTGAGCAAGAGGCCCAACATCACAAACCTTGTCCTTGTCAGCGGTAGGACCTCACCTCAGGCTTCCTGGACCACTGGCCTTATGTTTCAGTCAAGGTTAAAATCCAGGTGCCACAGGGCTTCCCTGGTGGCGCAGTGGTTGAGAGTCCTCCTGCCGACGCAGGGGACACGGGTTCGTGCCCCGGTCCGGGAAGATCCCACATGCTGCGGAGCGGCTAGGCCCGTGAGCTGTGGCCTCTGAGCCTGTGCTCCGCGACGGGAGAGGCCACAGCAGTGAGAGGCCCGCGTACCGCAAAAAAATAAAAGAACGCATTGAGGTCAGGGGCTTCCCTGGTGGCGCAGTGGTTAGGAGTCCGCCTGCCGATACAGGGGACACGGGTTCGTGCCCCGGTCTGGGAAGATCCCACGTGCACTGAGCGGCTGGGCCCGTGAGCCATGGCCACTGAGCCTGAGAGCCCGGAGCCTGTGCTCCACAACGGGAGAGGCCACAGCAGTGAGAGGCCTGCGTACCGCAAAAAAAAAAAAAAAAAATCCAGGTGCCACAGCAGAACTCAACGAAGGGTCTCTGGTCCCTTTCATGCAAAATCACCAGGTGTTTCCTTCTTTTCTCTTTGCCCCTGCCGTGTACCTCAAGTGACCACACCTGATGGAAGTCTGGCCTGAATTAAGGTCTCCTGGGAAAGGAGAGGCTGTCAGCTTCCTTAGTACACCTCTCTGTCCGGAAGTTCTTCCTTGTGTTTAATTTCAATCCACTCTGTTGCAAAGCAAGCTTACTACCTATTGGCGTGCTCCCCTATACATGGAGCGGCGGGAAAGGCCCAGAGCTGGCGTTCAGTTCTGGCCATACTCTGTCCTAACTAGCTAACTAGCATAGGCTAGTCATTTCACATCTCTTGGCTTCCTTAATCTCATCTGTAAACCAAGGATGTGGGGTTGAGACAGTGCCAGAATCCTTCCCAGCAATTCTCTGCAAGTGATTCTCAGAATGTGGTCTAGGACCACCAGCATCAGAATCACCTTATTCTTATTAAAGAATAAGAATATTAAAGAATAAAGGGCTTATTAAAATGTGAATTCCTGAGTCTCATCCCAGACCCCCTGGATCAGACTCTGGTCGTGGGGCCTGGGAATCTGCATTTGTGACCAGTTGCCCAGGTGATTCTGACTTATACTGATATTTAAGAACGATGTTTTATAACCTAGGCATGTATCTCAGACTGGTCTCCACTGAGGTTTACATTTCAGCTTCCTTAACTCCTAATTCTGGTGGATCAGTTGATATAAAAGATGGAGAAAGAAATGAGGGAAAGTGAGGTATCCAACAACCTACAAACAGGCCAATCAGTTCCGAATAAGTACACACACACACACACACACACACACACACACGCACACAGGCACACAGGCACATACACACACGTGCACGATTCTTCCTAAATCATTGCAAAGGAAGTAAGGAGAGAGACATGCCACCCTCATTTTACGCACAGGGGATTTATAAGTTGTGAACAAGAAGAATACATCCATTGGCAAAGATCAGTTTCTTCTCATCTCAGCCCCAATCCTCCACCCCAATTCATGCTAAAACAGTCACACGATCCGGCATCGGTTAACAACTTAGAGCCTTATAAAGTGAGGCCAGGCTTAAAAGAGACTAGAGTGCAGATGTAAGAGATTTTTAATAAAAAATGAAAAATGTGAATGACTCATTGGGTTCATTCTGTATTTCTCTGAGAGAGTGTTGATGACTGCTATCAAGTGAATCAGCCCTGGAGGAGAGAGTGAAGTTTGATTAGAAGATTGTTAGTGCCTTCATTTGGGGGACCCTTCAGAGAGCTGTTTGGGCCTTTCAGAACCTCAGCCCCTCCCTCAACGATGGTGGCCCCAACCTGAGGTCCTCTCGCGAGCACACATGTAAAGCAACGGAAATCAACCACAAAGGCGCAGCAGGTGCAGTGCTGGTCCCCTGTGTGCAGCCAAGCCCCGCAAGGACCTTGGGAGGAGGAGACAAGAGTTAAATGGGCTGGAGTGAATGAACTGAAGAAAAGGGTAGAAAAATGCAAACTGATAAGACGGGCAAGAGGTAACCACAGCATCCTGTCCTTTCTCTGGTTATTAAAAAAAAAAATAGATCTATCCAAACCAAGTAACCAAAATCAACAACTCTATCCTCAAATTTCTTCCCCCGAAACCCCCCACCACAGCCTTCTTCCCAAAAGGGCAAACTTTGGATTGCAATTTGGAAATCATTTCACAAGTTTATAAAAGTTGGCCAGCGATGACATTATGGTGAAACAATTCCATATGGAGAGAAAGATGGAAATGGACAGCGTCCCGGGAGGGCGCTTTCCTGGATAGGAGCAGGACCACACACCCCGGGAGAGAGTCTGCCCCAGGCTCGGACAGGGCGCTTCTGTCGATTCACAAACGGACAGCTCCCCAAACTGGGCCAAACAGGAAAACTGTCTCCTGTGGAAACTGCTGCCTCCTTGCCCCGCAGCCCATTTCTCTCTCCTTTGTCCCCCGCTCAAGAGTAAGCTGGGGGCAGGGGAGGCAGGGAAGGAGGGATGAGAAGCTAGGAGAAACCGCGGAGGTTATGTACTGGTTGTTTTTTATTTTTCATCGGCTCAGTATAGAACAGTAATCAGGTACCTTGGCTTCAACGCACCCTGGGGTACCAGCAACAACCTGGTGGGAGCAGGTTATTCCAAAAGGCGTGCATGCCTTTCCTTTCACCTTAGTTAAAAAGACATTGTGCTATAAAGCAGACTTAGATGCGGAGATCATGTGCCACAAAATCAAACTAATGATCAAAGCGGTGTGGCTGCAAAAAATGCTAGCAACTGTGGGCGTGACAGGCCAAAGGAAGAGTGGGTGCCATGACAGTTCACCCCAGCCCTTCTGCATCTCTGGTCACTCGTTGGGGAGGGCTGCGCTCTCCAGTTGAAAGAGCCACAGACAGGGCATCAGAAGACCTGGCTCTCATCACAGCTGGGCCACAAACTCACAGTGACCTTGGGCAAGTTATTCCGCTCTCCAGGCCTTAGTTTCCTCCACTCTGAAATGAGAGTTCAGTCAGATGCTCTCCAAGCTCTTTTCCGGCCCTAAAATCCCAGGCTTTCATTTTGCAGGGCTCGGAGGGAAGGAGCTTCGTTTAACTGGCCCCTATTTGCTCTAGAAGATGATAGCGGTCTCCAGAATTGAATGCCTCAGACAGGTGGAGGAGGAAACTGTTTATCAGACTAGTCAGCAAAGAGTAGCACCCAAGGCAGGGAAGGCCAGAAAGGTCCGGAAGATACAACACCATCTGGAGAGAGCAGATCCGGAAGTGTAACCCCGGGGGCTGGGAATGCATAAGGGGGTAGGACACCCGGAGCCAGAGAAGGAAGACTGGGAAAAGGGAACATGCAAAGAGTTCTATTAGCATCATGATGCTCCTGGTTGCTGGTGTGCGCGCGCGCGCGCGCGTGTGTGTGTGTGTGTGCGCGCGCGTGTGCGTGTGCGCGCGCGCGCACACACACACAGGTTTATAAATACATTCTCTCTGAGAGAAAGACCTCTCTCCTCTTCCCATTTTTGATCGAAAGTGTTCTTTGAAGAGCTTTGTGTTCTGCCTCTGAGAGATCCCCTCTTTTATCTCCTGGATGTTAGTGGCATTTCCGAGGGGAGGGCAGGCTGCAGGCAGCCTGGAGGTGACTTCCAAAACATACTACTCTTCGCCTCCTGGGTTTAAATAGGGGTCATGTGACTGCTACCCTTGCCATCAGAACCTGAAGGCTTGGGGTGGCCGCTGCTCTTCTCCTGGACGTGGGGCCTGGCTGGGAGGAAGACAGTGAATTCACAGCAGGGCTCAGGTCTGCGCCTGTCTCAGCCTGCTGCTCCCACCCTGTGCTTCCCCGAGATGCCACCAGGGAGGCCTCTGCCCGCAGTGCCAGATCCTGAAAGACCTGAAGGAACAAAGCTTTCCTCTGTCCCCCCTTCCTCCTCTTTTAGACACCTGCTGCCCCCTGTTGGGCCCAATTCTCTCCCTTCCCCTCAGCAGTGCTCCAGCACCCTGGGCAGACTTCCATAGCTTCAGCCCTGCCCCATCCTCCCAGAGCCCCTCCCTTACATGGGGCCCAGTTAATGAGAGGATGGGGCAGGTCAGAAGACCTGGCTCTGCCTTTTGCTGACCAAATGCCCATAGCAACTCACTTACTCTCTCTGGGACTCAGTTTACCAGGCTATACAATGGGGCAATGCCTGCCTATCAGTATGTGAGAGTCAGGAAGAGATGATGTGTATGGAAGAGCCCTATAAACTCTGCACACTGTAGAGTCCGGCCACACCTATCTGGGACTATGAAGGCAGTAGAGAGGGTGGCTGAGGCTTAGACTTCAGCATGGGACAGACCTGTCTGGACTCTGTTACTTACTTACTTGTTGTGTGACCTTGGGAAAAAGTCATGTAACCTCTCTGAGCCTCAGTTTGCTCATCTGTAAAGTGGGGATAATAATAGTACCCATTTCC